ACAATAACATTCTGATAAATTACTGCGGATGACGAGTAGAACCAGCAGCGCTTCCTGTCAAAGGGTCTCCGCATGTTGTAGGGAACATCGCAGATTTTTTGAGACAAATTTTTTTTGGAGATTTTTTTGAGCAACTCTTGAGCCAAACCTGGGAAGATTTGGAACTATTCAACAGCCCCAAATCTCGAGTGAAGTATTTTTCATTCAATTTGCGTCTCTAGGGGCAGTGTAGAGCCGTGTTCGCGAATGTAACATCTGTTTTCTTTGCTGACCCATTCGGCGCCCAACGTATCCTATATATAATCCGCTGAGTTTGTCCGGCTTGTGTGTGTGTATGGTTGTCTATATATGAGTCTGACCAGAAATTCATAACTTTCTTTGATTTCATCGCAAGGAGTTCCAAGTTATAAGTGATGTAGAAGGTGGGACAGGAACACTATTGGTGGGTGGCAGGAAGTGATAACAGCTGATAAGATACCACAAAAGGCCTTAGAAAGTTTGGGTCCAAATTCCTCGGGCTACAGCAACGATGGGACGTTGGTTTTGATGGGGATACATAGGGTAGTTTGGGAACAACATTGGTGGGTGGCAGGGAGTGATAACAGCTGATGGGATACCATAGAAGGCATTAGGAGTAATTGTCTAAAGATGCTCGCCAATGAGGAATGATAAGAGTCACCGACAGATGGATACGTAAAAATGCTTCACCACCAAGAATATGCAGACATTTCACCATCATCTCGATTTTGTTGTCCGATCAGGTATTCCTTTCGAAAGCCGCTAAGGCTGTCCCGTATTTCGCAAACGAATCGCGAGGATGTTTTCCAATTAGTGTGATAGGCACGGGGGGGGGGGGGGGGGGGGGGGGGGGGGGGGGGGGGGGGGGGGGGGGGGGGGGGGGGGGGGGGGGGGGGGGGGGGGGGGGGGGGGGGGGGGGGGGGGGGGGGGGGGGGGGGGGGGGGGGGGGGGGGGGGGGGGGGGGGGGGGGGGGGGGGGGGGGGGGGGGGGGGGGGGGGGGGGGGGGGGGGGGGGGGGGGGGGGGGGGGGGGGGGGGGGGGGGGGGGGGGGGGGGGGGGGGGGGGGGGGGGGGGGGGGGGGGGGGGGGGGGGGGGGGGGGGGGGGGGGGGGGGGGGGGGGGGGGGGGGGGGGGGGGGGGGGGGGGGGGGGGGGGGGGGGGGGGGGGGGGGGGGGGGGGGGGGGGGGGGGGGGGGGGGGGGGGGGGGGGGGGGGGGGGGGGGGGGGGGGGGGGGGGGGGGGGGGGGGGGGGGGGGGGGGGGGGGGGGGGGGGGGGGGGGGGGGGGGGGGGGGGGGGGGGGGGGGGGGGGGGGGGGGGGGGGGGGGGGGGGGGGGGGGGGGGGGGGGGGGGGGGGGGGGGGGGGGGGGGGGGGGGGGGGGGGGGGGGGGGGGGGGGGGGGGGGGGGGGGGGGGGGGGGGGGGGGGGGGGGGGGGGGGGGGGGGGGGGGGGGGGGGGGGGGGGGGGGGGGGGGGGGGGGGGGGGGGGGGGGGGGGGGGGGGGGGGGGGGGGGGGGGGGGGGGGGGGGGGGGGGGGGGGGGGGGGGGGGGGGGGGGGGGGGGGGGGGGGGGGGGGGGGGGGGGGGGGGGGGGGGGGGGGGGGGGGGGGGGGGGGGGGGGGGGGGGGGGGGGGGGGGGGGGGGGGGGGGGGGGGGGGGGGGGGGGGGGGGGGGGGGGGGGGGGGGGGGGGGGGGGGGGGGGGGGGGGGGGGGGGGGGGGGGGGGGGGGGGGGGGGGGGGGGGGGGGGGGGGGGGGGGGGGGGGGGGGGGGGGGGGGGGGGGGGGGGGGGGGGGGGGGGGGGGGGGGGGGGGGGGGGGGGGGGGGGGGGGGGGGGGGGGGGGGGGGGGGGGGGGGGGGGGGGGGGGGGGGGGGGGGGGGGGGGGGGGGGGGGGGGGGGGGGGGGGGGGGGGGGGGGGGGGGGGGGGGGGGGGGGGGGGGGGGGGGGGGGGGGGGGGGGGGGGGGGGGGGGGGGGGGGGGGGGGGGGGGGGGGGGGGGGGGGGGGGGGGGGGGGGGGGGGGGGGGGGGGGGGGGGGGGGGGGGGGGGGGGGGGGGGGGGGGGGGGGGGGGGGGGGGGGGGGGGGGGGGGGGGGGGGGGGGGGGGGGGGGGGGGGGGGGGGGGGGGGGGGGGGGGGGGGGGGGGGGGGGGGGGGGGGGGGGGGGGGGGGGGGGGGGGGGGGGGGGGGGGGGGGGGGGGGGGGGGGGGGGGGGGGGGGGGGGGGGGGGGGGGGGGGGGGGGGGGGGGGGGGGGGGGGGGGGGGGGGGGGGGGGGGGGGGGGGGGGGGGGGGGGGGGGGGGGGGGGGGGGGGGGGGGGGGGGGGGGGGGGGGGGGGGGGGGGGGGGGGGGGGGGGGGGGGGGGGGGGGGGGGGGGGGGGGGGGGGGGGGGGGGGGGGGGGGGGGGGGGGGGGGGGGGGGGGGGGGGGGGGGGGGGGGGGGGGGGGGGGGGGGGGGGGGGGGGGGGGGGGGGGGGGGGGGGGGGGGGGGGGGGGGGGGGGGGGGGGGGGGGGGGGGGGGGGGGGGGGGGGGGGGGGGGGGGGGGGGGGGGGGGGGGGGGGGGGGGGGGGGGGGGGGGGGGGGGGGGGGGGGGGGGGGGGGGGGGGGGGGGGGGGGGGGGGGGGGGGGGGGGGGGGGGGGGGGGGGGGGGGGGGGGGGGGGGGGGGGGGGGGGGGGGGGGGGGGGGGGGGGGGGGGGGGGGGGGGGGGGGGGGGGGGGGGGGGGGGGGGGGGGGGGGGGGGGGGGGGGGGGGGGGGGGGGGGGGGGGGGGGGGGGGGGGGGGGGGGGGGGGGGGGGGGGGGGGGGGGGGGGGGGGGGGGGGGGGGGGGGGTAGTTCGCCAATCGATCATTAGTTATGGGATATTATCCGGAGAATAGCCACTAAATATGAAAGCTGAAAAGCTGGAGTTTGTGGAAGTTGCCTGCCAGATATGTACGCCGTCACTTTTCAGCTGCCACAGTTTCAAACATAGGTTGCGCGCATGCGAAGTGGCGCGGAGCCCAAACTGGTTATTTATGACCCCTGACTTGCATATAGAACAGGCACAGCACATGTATGCACGCTCAGTATGCTTTACAATTTCAGCACAATCGACATATACAGATTTCATTTTCGTAATATTTGCGGTCCCTGTGAACTGTTAGTTGATTCCGCGCGTTCTTAATACTCTTTTCTTTTGTTCACACAACCTTTTTTGCGTTCGCATGCTGCCATGCCCGTTCCTGACACATGATTTTATACCACAGGACGGCCGTAACCTTTCAAGAGAGCACATAACTTCTCGAAAGCAAAATTGCGGAAACAAAAAAAACTTTTTGGAGCCCCCCCCAAAGGCTCCGCTTAGTTCTTGTGATAGAGCCACCCCATTATGGTCACATGTACAACTGCGCAACCTAAATCCTGCAAGGCACAGACGTCTTCTTATGAAGCGAAAGAACAGATTGTGGTATTACTCTGAGTGACAGGGACGAATATAGCCAATAGGCTTCGGCTCAATAAGGCGAGAGATCAGAACGGTGTACAGCAATACAATCAAAGTTGTGAGTTGCAACTGTAAATGTAAAACAATGGAGCAATCAAAAATTAAAGCAACTACAAAACCATTGGCTGCCATAACAGGTGAACCCTTAAGCAACAAAGGGTAATATTAGAGAACAAAGGGGAACACATACCTCGAGATACCTTACAAACATAGATCAGCAATCAGCACATACTGTCAGACTCATGATACGACATTGGTGTGTACGCTGCTTGCAAATCGAGATACAAATATGATCGTATTCAAATGTTTTACTATTGTCATGCAAGAATAACTCATGGCCATTGCCTCATCTAATGCCCTCATACACACATTTCCACCCACCAGCAGTTAAGAATACATGGGACTCAGCCACTGGGGAACAAGGTGTTCATTTGCATAATAGGCACCAAAATCTCTTTGTATAAAAAGCAACATCCAGGCTGTAAGGGAAACATCATCCCTCTACTTACGCACTGTCCAAACTATCCAAAAATCAAATCGAGTTCGG